TCCCACTTGTCTCCCAGTAAGCTCTGGATGCTCTCAGTGCTCTGGCCGCATGATTTCACACTTGTCTCCCACTTGTCTCTCAGTATGCTCTGGATGCTCTGAGTGCTCTGGCCGCATGATTTCACACCTGTGGGAGACGCTCCCAGTAAGCTCACTTGTGTTCCACTTGTTTCCCATGGCCTGTCTGGATGCTTTGTATCCCCGGGCTTGGCTGGATGCTGGGCCGATTAATTTTCCTTATTTCGCAGATCCTCGTTTCGTTTTGAGTCACAACAAGCTTCTTTCGAGTTGCTTTGCGTCGAAATACACTATTTTCACATATTTTCACCACAAGCGTTGCATTGCTCGATTTGCTGTTTAGGTTGGCAGCTACTTTCGTGCGGATGATCAACGAAGCAATCACACACTCTTACGTCAAGTGTTGCGACCTATGGCAAACACAGGTCAATGCAGTACATGGCTAAGCCAAAGAAGGCAACTGCGTAGGAAGGAAAAAGCCAAGCGCAGTGTCCGTGCTCTGAGGAAATCTTCATTTTGATTGGGTCTGCGCATTCGTGTTTACAAGGGGGGGCAACATATGTCACAACCTGGATCCATAAATTTCATGTTTTAGCCCTTGTACGGCGTCCCATTGTAAAGTCAATGAAAAACAGAAATTTAATGCTTTCCCTTTGAATCTTGTATGTGCGTCTACATGGTGGACTACAGTTTTCTTCCTCTAGGAAATACTGCTGGCCATATTGTTCGGAGATCTCATTTTTGAACATTGCTCTGTTTGGGGTCTACGCTGGTATAATTGTTTTATTTCACGAGTGTATCTCCCAACCCTTCCAGTCTTCAGTCCAGCCCTTGAAGAAATAAGCAACTATTGAAAAAGGATCAGTGAAAGCCCATTCTAGGCTTGAAAGGCGGCCTACTGAACACAAAAAGTATCTTGTTTCTTTCGCTTAATTGGCGGTTAGCAGTCACATCAGCATCTGCTCCGGCTTCTCCAAAAGTCTTTCACTGCGCATATCTTGAAAACGGCTTTGTACCAAGGATCCACATAGCTCCAAAGGCGTGGCGCCGTCTCTCTGTCCAAGTGCTCTATGATCCAGTTGTGGCTCTGCGCCAACAGGCAGGGCATCCCAAAAAAGTCTGCACAATGAGCAGCCTGTCGACAAAGCACACACGACGCAAAGCACAAACGCACAGGTTTACGAAGACCACCTGAGATGTCGTCTTGAAAGAAATGAGTTCAAACATTTTAACACAAATATTCTCAGGTTTTGAGCACCATCTGTACACGTGCAGCCATCGGTGCCACTTCCATGAAAAAAGAAAGCTGGAGGGCCACTCGCAGAGCATGCCCAAGAGAAACCCCGAGATATCGCATGGAAACATTCTCGCATCGCCGGCCTGATCCAAGTCGTGACTGTTACGCACGAAGCTAGGTCCACCGTGCAAGAAGCGAATCATACGCTCAACAACGGAGGCATCCCAACCGACCTGTCATGAAAATCAAATGCACAACTCAATCATTGTAATTATGCAGTAGTCAACAATTCAACTCATCACACAGCGAGCTGGGAGGTGTCATCATGAACTTTGAGTGGAAAATAATATGTTGAATATATACAGTATATTTCCTCATGCGGCTCAGCAACTAACACTGTGACAAACTACATATTATGGTTCCTTTAATGGACCAAGTTAATCCTTTTCAGCCCTTTTGGCACGATTCTGCATGTGCTGAACAAGAATTTTGCAAGGTCTCTTCAGAAAGAATACGGGGAACTATTGGTTCCATATTGGGATAACAAGCACGAAAAAGCATGTTAAAAAGTACAATATGTAAGAAGAAGCATTGAAGCCCAATCCCATGAAGAATTTAACGTTGTCGGTGTCACCTTGAATTCAGTCTTGTTGCTTCCAGTCGGCTTTTCAGTCCATCGGCTGCTAAGCATGGCTGAGAAGAAACTGGATGCCTCGCATCTTCACAGCACCATTTAAAGCCAAGGATTCTGAAACCCATTACCATATTTGCCCTGCCTTCGCCAACAGTGGCAAGAAGCCAGCATAAACAAGTTGCCTCACATCACCCAAGAATCGTTGCTTCTTTTGCTTTTGTCTCAGAGTTTGTCGGCATTGATGCCAAGATTCCCATCACCTTCTGCGTCGCAAAGGAACCTCAGAGACAAACAGAGAGAGAGAGAGAGAGGGAGAGTGAGAGGAAGAAAGGCAGGAAGGAAAGAAGAATTGTCAAAGGGTCTAAACAAGTACTGTAATAAAAGATGACACCAGCATGGAGCCCTCATTGCATAAGCAAATTCACGAGGCGTTCTTGTGCGAACGCTCAGCAACTTAGAACTGATTCCAGCGTGACCGGGCTCGAAACGATCAAAGTCTAGTTCTAGTCACCGTTCTAGAGCCTGACTTGTGTGAAATGTTCATCGCCTCAGGAACCGGGCTGGTCGGGAAATCCCCGCATGGTTTTGCTTATTAGATCACATATTCCTTTTTGGGGCGGCATCTCTCACAAACCAAGTGGCCAAGTGTTGCTCAAGCTTCGTTGGTCATAAGCGCGCAACAAGTCCGGCTCTATACACCCACGAGAGGGTTCCCGCCGCCAACTGCGCACTAGCCTCTGACGCCTGGGGCGACACAGGTCGACATCCAATCACTAAATTTGATGCTGGATTGCTACATAAAGTCCGTGCCAAGTTGCATAGCAACCAAATCACGCATTCCCAAAAGTTGCGCGAGCTGGGCGACGCGGTCGCTGCTGATTTCAGCCTGTTGCCCCCAAGTGCATTAAATCAAACTGAACTGCCCACCCCCCTCACCAACATCATTGCAGCCAATGCTCCGCAAAGCGACGCACGGAACATCAAATACCCCACCGCAAACTTTTGGCCTCTCGCCCGTGGACCAGCTTCAAATCCATCTTTCCGGTATAGATCCATTGGAGCAAAGCTTGAACAACCTGGCCACATTGACTTGTTGAGCATGCAGCTGTTGATTATGACAAGGGCCTAGGGAGTTGAAAACCTCCAAATCTTGGGGATGGCAGACCCGGAACATGGGGTGCTGAGACGGCCAGTGAACAATTACTTTACTTCGAGCGACCCCCACCGTGGTATTATATATATTCTTGCTGGTTGCCGGTGGCTATATTGCCTCAGCATCACCAAGAAACTGTCGGCCTTGCAAACCCCAGCCTCTCATAGCCGCAGCCACCCACACGCCAATCCCAATGGCACAGCGACATTCATCTCCACCAATCATCTTAACTTCACAATTCCTCGTGCCTGCTACGTAAGTTCAGCTCCCACGCCTCCAACACGCACGAAGTACTACGCCGGCCACGACAGGTGCTGAAAGTTCGGGCTCAAGATGCCAAAAGGCAGCTTTCGCTCGAGACTTCTCCCAACTTCTGACAACAAGCCACATGTCCAACGGTCACGGTTCACTGCACCTGCCACGAAATCAGAGCGCTCTGAAGACTGCCAGGTCTAATCTAAAGCACTGCGCCCCCCCACGAAATCCGCACATCGAAGTGAAGCCGCTCCGATCTCCTGCACCTGCCACGACAAGTGGACGTTGGACCAGCGAAGCGCGAGGTTTCCCTGGCGCATGCCACGAAAATAATCCGCCAAGTCCAAAAATACGCACGGCGCCACAACGAGAGCGGAGTGCAGGAAAGCACCCGCCTGTGCGGCCGAAATGCACTTTGAAGATCCCGAGGAGATTGAATCCCTAAATAGCAGCGAATAAGCCGGACACGGACGCGAGCACCACCGAACTACCATAAGAACCCCTAGTGTGACCACAGTGTTTAGGGAAAAAACACGTGAAACCAACAAACCAACCTTGAAGGCGAAGGCCGTGGTTTCCATAGGTGGGAGCCCAAAAGAACAATTTACTTCAGATCATCCCCGCAGCCAAGGCTCCGCCCGGTCTTCTGAGTCAAAAGCTTTGCTGGCTTTGCTCTGCACGTCCAATGCTGGACACCTTGTGCAGAAATGTCAACCAGGTTGCAAAATGCAAACAAGCTGTAAATTTGCAACTGTCGATAATTTTCTCAACCGCCCACCGGGCACCGGCCTAGCAGAAAGCAATTGCCAGTGACAGCGCAGTTTGCCCTCAGTGACCGCCAGCACCATGTCCTAAGAGCATCAAAAGCACGGTGGAAAGTGCCTTCAGCATTGTTTGTCGTCAGCCACAAGAGCCGATTTGCAAAATCTTAAATACTTATATAAAGCACCAAACTACTAGTAGCAAGAAGCTACTAGGAATTGTCAAACCTAGCAAAGGCCACGGACGCAGCGACAACACACAAGTAGGATGGATGGCACCTGTCAAAGCCTTATTCCCCCTCACCAACAGAAGCGTTAGCCGGATGCTACGACTGAGGTTCTCCTGCCTGGGCTGCAAATTTCAACTGCCGGATTTTCAAGGTCCAAGTCTTAAATCAACCCACATCAGGATTCAAACCCTTGAAACAAGAAGCTATTAGAAACAAGTGCCACGCTAGTAGTAACAGGTGCCTTACTAGTAGTAACAAGAAGCTATTGAAGCTCAGCATCACTCTCGTCCTCACAGGACTTGAGACACTGCTCCAGGAGTAGCACGGTTACGCTGACAGCCATGGAGTTCGCGTGAAGCGCTCAGGAAAGGAACGATGAAGTTTCATGAGTCTTTCCAGCGGATCATTAATTAATTACAGTGCATCAAGTCATTGTCCATCATAGATGACTAAGATTGCGCCTTCCAAGCCCAAGGGATTGCTTTGGGACTTTGGGTTGAGCATTTGGCTCTTGAGCCAACCAGCGAGGACTGCGAACATGCTTGAGCATGCTCCGCCAAGTGCAACCCATGCCGCCGCATGCTGCTAAGCTCATCTCAAGAACGTGTCACCCTGTTATGAGTCCCTGCACTGGAGGTTATAGACGTTATATAAATCAGAAACGCCCTGCTAGTGAAGTAGTGACCAGTGAGCTAGGTCTATGTTTTGGTCATTTTCGGTCCCTGCCCCTTCTGGCCAGAATCGCCACAACATCTCCCCGACCTTGACAAATCTGACCAAGCGCAAGGCATCGATAGGCATCCCGTCAATTTATCAATTTTCACCAGTGGAAAAGCGGTTTCCAAGTGCACAGTCAGATGGAGACTGCATGGAAACTAAGGTCCAATTTAGATGACCTCAGTAACCTATTGAATTAGGCTAACGTGCTTTTACAAAGGTCTCTCTTGGAGGGCCTAGAACTGCCTCATGCAAGAGAATTGGAAGGTTGTCCAACAACTCATCAGCTGCTCGCTCTTCGTCAGCCGTGACATAAGTCTTGACTCCCATATCGGGTTGGGTGTACACGGCTGGAACCTTTACCCTTGCAAGTGATGGTACTTGCAATGCCTTTGCCAGCTCGGTAAAGGGTGTGCAACTGCTTTCGATGTAGAGGTCGATATCTCCATCAAAACGCACACAAATTGGAAGCAACTGACTCCAAATACGGAGCTGCAGAGTCAAACCATGAAGTGAAGGACTCTGTAGCAAGACTACAGACTTTGTCCGTAGCCTCTCCCGAGGCTGTGAAACAGCCACGCGTGTAGATGAAAGGGATTTTGCGGCATCATGTTCATATGCCATATCACCCAAGCCTCAGACAAAATTGCAAGAAATGAAATGGACACCTTACGGGGTCAATTCCTGCAATTACTGCAACACTTGTATGCTGTACCACGCTACATTTCCCCGCTAAATATTCGATTCTGAAATGCTCACAAGGTTGTTGATGAATCCCAATTATATATATAAGATTAGCCTTTCTTGCATCATCTGGGGATCAAAATGAAAGCCAAGTTGCTGATGATATTTTTCCAGGTTTGCCCTTGGTACTGCGAATAGAAGCTTTCGGCCTCTTTCCTCATGGCTTTGAATTTAGCTTCTGTAAGGTCGAAATGTGGCTTCGGCGCATTTTGGCGCATTGCGGCCATGGATTCCACCATCTTGGAAACAAAGCCGTGAAAACATCCCAAAGACTGAAGCATTTTAATGATGACGCCCTCAGCCTTCTCACTGATTTCATCACTCTTGGATTTGCTCTTCTTCATCATTTCCGATGCATAAACCACACGCACCGGCCCGTTCTTCGCCAGGATCTCCTTGAGATTGGGAGCAAAGTGGTCAATGCACGCAGAAACCCACGGCGGCCTTGAGTTGGTGAGGATCACGCAACGGTCACTGATCGCACAGGCGGCTTGTAAGAAGTCCCCTGCAGCCTGACGCCAAGCACTTAGCTCTTCGTCCAGATCAGGAGGCAAAGGCCTGCGAAGTTTCTGTGCTCAGCATCTCTCACTAGAAATGAAGGAATGGGGTTTGGTGCAGCGTACAGTAGTCTTTTTGGGAAGGAGAGAAAACATGCCAAAACCATCAAAAAGTGCTTGGAAACTGCTTGTGCCATGGTGCTTCGTCCACTCTCTGCTCCGTCTGGTATAGTTACGAGTGGTGAAGATTTCGGTGCAAGGAAATATTGTATCATCCCAGTCCAAGAAGATCAAGGTCTGCGCTGGTTCTGCATACAAACGCCCTGAAGAAGCAGCTGAAAATACCGAGCAGGGGCTTAGTTGTCGGCGCCAAGCCCCGCTTGGAGCTTTGGTCTCATATTCATCTGCCTCATCAGAATCGTCAGTGCCTACAGGCGATAAACCGCTTGAATCGTCATGTCCTCTTCGCTTAAAATGATGCAAATGGACAGACTCACTGGATGGAATTGATGGCAACGTCGTCACCATGGCGCTCTGCCCGTTTGAGCAGAAATCACCCGTGTCCGTACGTCAGTTGTAGGCTGCTTGAATCAGCTCTGTACGCTGGGAACTGGAGTTAGTACGTAGGTCCTATTTGAGGCACAAGCTTTGCTTTGGGGGCGGAAGCGGCCTCTACCAAGTCACGCAGGCACATGAAGTGATATTGGAGTGATTTCCTGAGATTACCAGTGCCGAAGGCATCTGAATAATAAGTTAGTTAAAGAAAGTGCCACAGGCTTCTCATCTAAAAATCTCTGTGTACATACCTAATTATATATGTTAAGCAATTCTCAGTCATAGTGTGTAGCCCTGTGATCTTGGACTGGTGATGTCGCACCAGCTGCTCTAGCTTGAATTGCTGCATGTCATGATGTTGCTTGAGCCACCACTCCCACCGTTCCTTCTCCTTCACATGTTGCACTGCCAGAGATGAAGAAAGACTAGCAGAGGGCAGAGCAGTCCAGCATTGAGAGTGACATGTCACCAGCAAGGAGGCTGTACTTGCAGCTTGTGGTAAAAAGTCGTATGTGAGCAAGGAAGCCAAGCCATGCTACTCGGCTTGCAATGGCATCAATGCATGCCTATGCCAAGGCATGTTAAGGCAAAGATGTGTTCTGTTAAAGCACTCTTGGTTTAACTTGAGCGGTGTCATGAGACTATAGGAGAGCAATGGAGCTTATACAGAAAATGCTTCTTACAGCATCGCGCCTTCTAGAGGTTGACGCCTTCTGCCTCAGAAGAGAGAAGGCAAAAGAGAAACAATAAGAAAAGGTGTTGTGATGAAAAAGAACTCTCACAGCCCAAGTAAGCTGAACCAGGACTACCATCAGGAAATCGTGCCCATGGTCGCCATGATCGACACAAACGTGAAGCACTTAATCACCATGAGCGCATAAACCCTCACACGTCTGACATTGCGATCGTTTTAGTTGTCCATTTTAGCCTTTAGCCAGTCGGATCCAGTGGGCAATGTCTCACATCACTCACGTCCGTCATGGCTATGGCTAGTGATCATTGCAGCTTGCCGAGAAAAATGCCTCGAAGGCAAACAGATATGTGGCCTCCTGTAATCTCCTACAGGCCATCAAGCCAGGTCTTTGTGGTTGCTAACCCTGTGGCCCCTGACCTGTGACGGTGAAGGATGCTCTGTTTCAATACCGTTTTCTTTTCAAATCACTTTGTCGGGGACCCATGGCCTCAGTCTGATGTGCCTGGAGGCAGCTCACTGAAATTGGCTGTTGATACGGCAGCGCCTTTGAGCCAGTCACAGGCAGACTCTTCGTACACCAAAGCACCGAATCGCTTGGATGATCGGGCTTCTTGGAAGTGACAATGGTGCTCAGCCAGCTAATTAGCGCTGTGGATGGCATCAACCGTCTAACTCGTAGTGCACTTTATGTTGAAGCTAAAGCTGAACGTACGGCAGGCCATATGTGGCAAGAAGCGGAGAAAGACCTCAAATGTAATTTGTTTGGTTGCGAGTTTACAGTACTAGCTTCTTGCTACTAGTAGTATGGCCAGGAGCCCCTAGTAGCGTCCTTGTTCCTAGTAGCGATGCCAGGAGCCCCTAGTAGCTTCTTCCTACTATATGTTATATGAAGCTTGAAAAGCTGAAGTCTCCATGGTGCTCCCTTGCACTGGTGGGAACAGAGTTGTTGTTTCTGGTTCTGGACTGCACCCTAACCTGCATTGCACTCGCACTATGACCCTTGAGACGGGCCGTAAATACCTGTGCCAAATATGCCGGTGCAATTTACCTCAGGACTCAAACGGCCTTGTAATGTCCGAGGTAGGGTGATCCTACCGCTGTGATTTGCTTGTCCAACAAATGACCGAGCCTGTTTTAATCTTAATTTCTTTTGGTTCTTGTTCTCTGAGTTCTTCGACCAAAAAATCTTCTTTCAAGAAACATTGTAAGGGGATGTAAGGGGTAGTGTAGTGCGGGGAAGTTCTCAGCTGGTTTTGGCCCTGCGGCCCTGAATGTCTAAGGCTCTCTGCTGGCTTTTCTTGGGTTTTGATCCTGACCGTCTTGACCTCCTCAGTACGAATGCTCGATGTGACAAAATCGCCACAAGCATTGCCAAGACATCACACCAAGAACGCAAACATCACAAATGCAGCTGCAACACACTATAGGTGGAAGCCATCGCTCTTAGGTTGGAGGCCATCGCTTCTATAATATGGTGTCCATGCAGCAGCACAGGTGGTGCTTGAAGATCTGAGATGCAGGCGATCGGTCAGACCTAAATGTCAAGGCAAATCTCTGCTTCAACTCATCTTAACATCGTTCACTTTCATGCTCGTCTTGCTTCGTCGCCCTAACTCGTCGCATCGCGCCGCTTTGCGCCGCTTCCTTCGCATTGGTCGTTCAAGGCTTTGGCTCAGACTCGACATCCTCAAACATGAGGAGAATAACATTGACAAATCTGTGTTTGAATCGTGGACAGCCCTCTCCTTGGCCTTCTTCCTTGGGGAAGAGCATGGCCTGCCGTTGCGTACCAAAAAAAGCTACTTGCTCCGAGGCAAACATGTTCATCGCTTGGGCCAGCACTTTATGTATATGGGTGACACACACACAGAGCGCCCGACCATCAAAGTATTCGACAATTCTTCGAAGAGATGACAACAAACACTGGAGTGTTTCAGACTCATCACAATGTTCACACTCTGTCAAATTGTATTTTGGTTTGATGATCCCGAAGGGCAACCTGGATGCCGATCTGCTCGCTTTTTCAGAGGAGCCTCTAGAACAGTCTCGTCTAAGGGCTGCGCGTTCGGAGATGCTGAAATTGCAAAAAATCAGGTTTAGCCAACTAGCCGGGGACCGGGCTCTTCTTCGGAGATGACTCCTTCTCTGACTCTGAACCTGGATAAATGGACCAAGCACGGAGGGAACTACACGTTCCAACGTTCCAACTGCTGAGCTGAGAAAACAAGCGTGTGCTACTGCCACCTTGGCAACCTCATCACCGTCACCCATCAACTACAAAATACTTTGGAAAAAAACAGGGCAGCAGAATGTTACAGATTCTATTGTCAATCTGGAGTTCCTATTGCTGAACATGCCCCTGAAATCTACTGAAAACAAAACTGTCCGACCCGAAAAAGTCCTTTTTATATAGCACCCCTTACCACCTCCCTGTGGGGAGCCTGCAAAAAGTTTTCTTTGTCTCGTCCTTGTCTCTGTTGGTTCCATCCTTTGCTATTGCCTTTTGCGCTGCCCTGTCGAACTGTGCTGGCGTGCTGAACGTCTCCCTTGCAATCACCCAAGGCAAAGTTGTGTGGAATCCCTTGGTGTATGGGTTTTCCTCCTATAAGTGCCGTGCCTTCACCAAAGTTGTCCCAATGCTCGAGAATGCCTGTATTTATATCCTTCCGAATGCTGTTGTTGCTCTGTATGCCATGACTGTGATCTGGAACTCTCCGTGTGTCCTGGTCCTTTCTGTTCCTGTCAGTCGCAATTGATCCTGTAGTTGCCCAGTTCTTTTCCGCTAAATTTGGCACCTTCATCTGGTCTAGAAGTACTGTTGTGCTGTCGCGCTCGTGCGAAAGGTTCTTCACAGTTGTGCGTTTCGAACCTGGGTTGGAGAAGCTTCGTGCATGCAGTGCTTCTTGGTCTTGTTCCAATATATACTGGCATAACTGGTGCAAAAATGCTGCAACTCTCCAGGCCTCTCTCCTGCTGTGAAGCTCGCATGTGTTTGAGGTTGGTGCTGAGTTGTGCCACTTGTCTCCCTTCCTCTGTTGTAGATGCTGCACCAGGTTTAGTGTTCTGTGAGGCCGTTGTCCATCAAGTCCATCAAGCCCATGTGTGTAGTAGACTTGTATGTCCACTCTCTGAAGACGCCATAGTCACAATAGTCACCACCATGGTAGAACGGAGACTTGATTGGACATCAGTGTGTGGATGCCATGCCTTCTGGTCCTGTTGATGCCTGTGCCATTGTTCAGCTCCCGCAGTGTTCTGGGATCAAGGTTTGCTCCTCCCTGTAGTTGTTGTTATTGCTCTTATGTATGAGTGTTTGTTCTTATTTGTATGTATGCTGCTTATTCTTGCTTGGCTCCGTTTACTCCTGCTATTTAAGGAGTTCATCTGGATGCGTTGCCAGGATCATGGCTCTGCTACATGTTGAGGTAAAAGCTGTTTGTGCTCTCTCACTTGTAATGCTTTCCCTCAAGACTGTACCTGTGTTTTTTCTTCAGCTGTTGTATACATTGTATACAAATGAACTGGGTGCTCTTTTTCTCTCTCTCTCTCTCTCTCTTTCTCTCTCAGAGACTCCCTCATTCTTACACACTACTTGTATCTTCGCTCTCCTTCTTGGGAGCCAATTCCAAACCCTGCATCAACCCAATCAGTGCCCGGCCCTTGGCCGAAGCTCTTGACTCAGAGCCTTGGCTTGAGAGGCAGTTGGCCAGATTGATGTGCTTTTCTCTTTAATTTGTGATCTTCTCTATTCTGATTGTTCCTTTTCTTGTATGTTTTTAACTTTTCTCTTGGCCCCGATTTAGACCTTTCTTTTTGCCTTCCTTCTCTGTTGCTACAAATCATGAAAGATTTCCACACCTCAGTGATTTTGGTCTCAGCGTCATTCGGGAGAGGGGCTATCTCCAAGAACTGCAGAGTGAAACCTCTTCCACGCGGTGCTCGCCGTCAACCATTCCCAGATACACTGCAAAAGTTCCCGTGGAGGTTGTGAAGACACCGTTAAGCATGGACGAAGGCAAGATTGGCTAAGCTGGAGTCGGACATGGCCACTGGTCGAGTTGCAGAACCAAGGTCAGCGCTTTCAACAATGGTTTGAGAAGCCGGTGCATCCGGCAGCTTGAATGGCTTTGCGTTGTGTGCAGAAACTGGCCACAAACCAATCAGTTATTGCAGGTTGCGAAAGGTGCATGAAGCGCGATCGATCAATTATAGAAAGCAAAGCACTGCAACGAAAGCACCTCAAATCTCAAAAACGGATCAATAGAATCGCTCTTAAAGTTTCTCTGAGACTCTCAGAGGCTCTAGCAAGAGCAAAGCCGGATGTTTTTTAGAGCCGTCCATGCAAGTTGACTGATTGAATCCTTGAACTGGAAGGGGTGCCCGCTTCAGAGCTACTTTGCTCTCAAATCTTTCAGATTTGTCATAGCTCCTTTGGATCTTCCCAACCACGTTGTAAACCCTTTTTTGCGACAGTCTTGTGGCAGATCTAGCTTGGAGTGAGTTTGTGGGTGTTTTCTTCTGAGCATGACAGTGTCATCCATGTTTGGCAAAGTGCAGTTTCCGTGGAGTAGTAGATCTTTGGCTTGGCACAATCACCGCCATTGCGATTCAATGGTTTGATAGTTCACTGGTAACTTGGTTTGAGCCAGCCTTGGCCCTATTGACGCCTTTGCGGAGCCTTTGACCGAGCATATCCGAGCGCTTGACCATTCGACCATGACGCTGACCATCGCTGACCACAAGCACAAGCCGTCCCATCATGTCTCCAAGACATGCTCGGCTGATCTCTGCTGCAGTTCTCTATTCTTCACATGATTGGCCGGCTGAAGGGCACCACCTTGCTCAACGCACCAGAATGCCGTAGGTTGGTTGACCGACAAGGGCGCATTCTTTTTTTTCTCATTGGGCGCCAACACGGTGCTAACGTCTGTGTGAGCTCAGCATGGTCGAATAAATCTGGGACTGGCCAAGACATCACGACATTTCTCTCGTTACGTTGCAGCAAAGTTGCACAACAACATTGTCCTTTGCACACATATTTGGTTGAACCAATGACGGTAACTGTGTCGCACTGCATCGGAAATCACTAAACCATCACAAAGGACTGTGGGGCCAAACGGGCGTGCAACATCAATGAGAACCAACATGATCTTCAGCCAAGAACTTGGCAGAAAACTATTGTGTTAGTGTAAGATGAACTCAATGAGCTCCTCGCAATCATCCAAGGAGTTCAGAACAGTTCCGTTCCATTCCCTCAGCTTAGCATCCCGGCGCTTGTCGGACTTTTCAGACGGACTCGGCTTCCGTGCGCCTCAAGGATTTCCAACACTCTGTGATACTTGTTCCTGCCATATGTAATTGCTGTGTTTTCTACTGTTTTCCTGGCAGCCGCTGCACAAAGGGGGGCAAAAAACTAAAGAAAGTTTGTAATAGATTATGCTGTATCTTACAAAATCAGTCTTGGTCACTATATGGTCACTATATACCCGGTCACTACCCAACTTTTCGAACAGTGAACAGTCAAGAATGGTCATAGAGAATCTCTCTCTCTCTCTCTCTGTATATCTTTGTTGCAGAACTCTGTTGTATTGTTTTGTCGACTTAGAACTGAGGCAGGTCTTGAACTAATTTCGACAAAGTCGGCCTTGCTCTGAGCTCTTTGAGCGAACCGAAGATTCGTCTGAGCTCCTGAGAGTACCATTTCCCTCGCGCCGAGTCATGAAGGTGCGACGACGGTGCAAAATACCTGCAAATTTCATTATAGGAACGGCCTCCACTAGCGATGGCTTCCAACCTACTAGCGCTTGCCTCCAACCTAAGGGCGATGGCCTCCAACCTAGAAGCAATGACCCCCACTAGCGATGGTCTCCAACCTACTAGCGCTTGCCTCCAACCTAAGGGCGATGGCCTCCGACCTAGAAGCAATGACCCCCACTAGCGATGGTCTCCAACCTACTGGCGCTTGCCTCTAACCTAAGAGTGATGGCCTCCAACCTGGAAGCAATGACCCCCACTAGCGATGGTCTCCAACCTACTAGCGCTTGCCTCTAGCCTAAGAGCGATGGCCCCCCAACCTAGAAGCAATGACCTCCACTAGCGATGGCCTCCAACCTAGCGCTTGCCTCTAACCTAAGAGCGATAGCCTCCAAACTAGAAGACCCGCACTAGCGATGGCCTGCAACCTACTAGCGCTTGTCTCCAACCTAAGAGCGATGGCCTCCAACCTAGAAGCAATGACCTCCACTAGCGATGGCCTCCAACCTACTAGCACTTGCCTCCAACCTAAGGGCGATGGCCTCCAACCTAGAAGCAATGACCCCCCACTAACGATGGTCTCCAACCTACTAGCGCTTGCCTCTAACCTAAGAGCGATGGCCCCCAAGCAATGACCCCCACTAGCGATGCAACCTACTTGCGCTTGCCTCCAACCTAAGAGCGATGGCCTCCAACCTAGAAGCAATGACTTCCACTAGCGATGGCCTCCAACCTACTAGCGCTTGCCTCCAACCTAAGGGCGATGGCCTCCAACCTAGAAGCAATGACACCCACTAGCGATGGGGATAGACTTTTTTTGTGGGTACTAGCCTACTAGCGCTAACCTACTAGCCCTTGCCTCTAACCTGAGAGCGATGGACTCCAACCTAGAAGCAATGACCCCGACTAGCGATGGCCTGCAACCTACTAGCGCTTGCCTCCAACCTAAGAGCGATGGCCTCCAACCTAGAAGCAATGACCCCCACTAGCGATGGCCTCCAACCTACTTGCGCTTGCCTCCAACCTAAGAGCGATGGCCTCCAACCTGGAAGCAATGACCTCCACTAGCGATTGCCTCCAACCTACTAGCGCTTGCCTCTAACCTAAGAGCGATGGCCTCCAACCTAGAAGCAATGACCCCCACTAGCCAAGGCCTCCAACCTACTAGCACTTGCCTCCAACCTAAGAGCGATGGCCTCCAAACTAGAAGACCCCCACTAGCGATGGTCTCCAACCTACTAGCGCTTGCCTCTAACCTAAGAGCGATGGCCTCCAACCTAGAAGCAATGACCCCCACTAGCGATGGTCTCCAACCTACTAGCGCTTGCCTCCAACCTAAGAGCGATGGCCTCCAACCTAGAAGCAATGACCTCCACTAGTGATGCCCTCCAACCTACTAGCGCTTGCCTCCAACCTAAGAGCGATGGCCTCCAACCTAGAAGCAATGACCCCCACTAGCGATGGCCTCCAACCTACTAGCGCTTGCCTCCAACCTAAGAGCGATGGCCTCCAACCTAGAAGCAATGCCCTCCATTAGCGATGGCCTCCAACCTAAGAGCGATGGCCTCCAACCTGCTAGGGATTGCCTCCAACCTAAGAGCGATGGCCTCCAACCTAGAAGCGATGCCCACCGCTAGCGATGGCCTCCAACCTAAGAGCGATGGCCTCCAACCTAGAAGCGATTGGCTCCAACCTAATAGTAAACTTTCTTGTTACCTTGGTGGCCTTGGCGGCTAAGGTTGAAGCAAATGCACGCAAAAAGGGGTTTTGGAGTAAGTAAGCTCTCTGAGCGGCCATCTTTCATAGCAAGGAGGAATTAACTTCAAAACTGCATCTGTCTTTTGAGGATCCAGCCTCTCTGCTTCTTTCTCCGCCTGCCAAACACTGCCAAAATCATATCGAAGTATGCTCACATCTCTCAAAGTTCTGAAAATAGTAGATCTACATAGTATACATTTGGAAGAGACTTACTTGGAAACATAGTATACGTTGAAAGAGACTTACTTGTAAACAAACATAGCCAAACTGTCAAGTCAAAGTTAAAGAAATGCAAGAAAACATGGCTGATGTCCTCTGCTTCTTTGGCCTTTGCTGCGGCCTTGGCTTTTTTTCTCCTGAAGCCCCGAGCAAAGAGTGCATCCCAGCTTAGCTAGCTTAGCTACGGCTTGGCCAAGTGTTGGTATTACGATACAGCTATGTAAAATTATCTACCATTTGTCTTGCCGTTTGTCTTACCTCAATCTCTCTTCATCTTCAGACTTCTAAGCTACCTCCCCATTGTCCCGAACTCTGTTCTTTCGTTCAGCAGAACACCGCGAACTGCAAGGACTGATCACATGCCTCGGCCTTCTTGGCCTTGAGGCGTTCTCTAGCCTGCGAGAAAGAATTCGGATTCACGGCAAGGGTTCAATTTCCACCTAATAGCGATGGCCTCCAACCTACTAGCGCTTGCCTCCAACCTAGAAGCAATGACCCCCACTAGCGGTGGCCTCCAACCCAATAGCAATGGCCTCCAACCTATTAGCGATGGCCTCCAACCTAGTAGCGATGGCCTCCTAGTCACAAAAACTATAGACACCACTAGAAACTTTGGAAATCTTACGGTAAGCTGGAAACTTATGTCTACTTACTTAGGATGTCGGAACTCGGAATGTACTTTCGGGACTGCGGAAAAAATTTTGGAGGAGTGGACTAGTGACTAATTTGGGACCAGATTTCAGTATCCGAGACCTATATAAGCATGGGGGATGGCTCGCAAAAATGCCTCTTCTTCTGCTTGTTCTTTGGCTTCTCGAGCTGCTGCCTCCGCTTTTTCAGCAGCCTGGGCAAAAATGAAGCATCAAAAACAACAAACCAAGCTTACAAGCATCAGCATCAGCAGTAATTAAAACAAAAAAAAGTGACTCCGACATACATTGCATCGTTCTTGTTCTTACTGTTCTGTGCTATCAAAACAACGTCCCCCTTTCGCAATGTAACATCATGCAAAACCCCAACGACATACTTCACTTCTTGCTTGTTCACGCGAACGTGCCCATGGAGGTCTTCACTTGTTGCAGGTCGGCAACACTTGCGATTTAGTGGTGAGGCGGTTCACCGTTGGACATCAAAAGGAATGGAGCGGACAAGTGCTAGGTGAGGCTCTAGTGGGGTGGCATCAAAGTGCTCTTGTGGACTGGGTCCAAACGAGTGGGTCTCTGAAAACGCTATATATATATACACATATTATATTGTTGCATGTCCGCTCAAACGAAGAATCGTGGGCCTGCCAAATGCTGTGTGAATGCTTGCTTCTGGGATTTTGTTCCATGATCTTGAAAGCCCCCGTCATTGTTAATCTAAACCCTGTATAGTGTCAAGATCAAATTCAAACCTCAGAAGAATATACCGTATACCCATACAATGGGTCAGCTGGGTGTTGTGCACAGCCTCACGGTTGCCTTTCTTCAAGGACAAGGTGCCTGGTACTCAGCAGCACGTGCATCAACTGCGTCGTGCGCCTGAATCCCAGACTATGATGTTGTGGGCATATGTTCGAGGGGTCAAAGGAAGACAAGGATACCTGAGGTCTGAGCTTCAGGAATTTGTTCTTGCATCTTTTTCAGTTTCTTGGCAGAAGTCTTGAGGTTTTCACCTGAGTCTCCGGAGGAATCACCCAACATGTCCTCTGGCTTGCCCTTGAAGGTCTGAACGTCAATGTCTCAAGAAGCATGACGGCAATTCGCCAATTCTAGAGTGGTGTAACAATGTGTAAAATGGCTCAACAAAATCCACTGAGACTGGCACTTGCTGCCTTGTACACAGCATCTGCTGATTTCAATTTGGAATTGGCGGCCTTAAAGTGGATCTATGGCACATTGTTCTTCAATCATTCAAGTGCATTTGTACATCTTTAAGCAAGCAGTGCCAAAGTCAATTTTTCGCTCCTCTGCTTCCTTCTTCGCCACATCCCGTGTCTTCTCGGCATGCTGTGCCTGCCACTAAGAACTGAGAGATGCATCACAATCACATCTTCACGGCCTTCTCCGCCGCTTGTAGAGCCTTGAGCGGGAAGCTGCTTCGCATAAAACGCAGATTTGTTGCAGATTCTATCATTCTGAAACCATTCTGAACCGACAACCATCGGTCACATGTCCCACGATTCAACATTCCAACAATTCAATTCAAACATGATCAAACAACTCACATTGTCTCATCCGCCATCTCCGCCTCCTTCTTCATTTCGTCCGTCTCCTTGTTGAGTTTCATTAGCTCCGCCTGTTTATCACCGATTTCGTTACATAAGCTGCTGGAGTGTGGCCAGGCACGGCAACATCAAACACAAAAGCATTGCAACAATTGGGCTCAAAAATATCAAAAATGCAATTCCTTTTCTGGCTCGCTTGGCGAGATGCTTCCAGTGCTGCAACTTTAAGTGCCGTGACTGGAGTGACTCTACAGAGATCCTACAACCTTCTCGTCCACGCTTGACTCAGCATTTGACATAGCTCGCCAACCACGGCAAACCAGGGCAGGCCGCTCAAGTCAAGTTTGATCTGAAAAAATTGCCGACTTTTGCCAAATCTCACCATCGGTCCAACATATCCTGGGTTGAGCAAGGCACTCATACTGACCCAAGAGGGTCAAGTGAGTTTTAAAGGTGCTTCAGTATCTACCTAGAAGGGCATCAATACCCATGAAATGTGCCCAACCCTACAGGCCACGGAAAATCACCTGCAAACACCCCAGCGGACAATCACGGTGCGAGACACATTTGCATGACTACGCAAACAGCCTAGCGCATTACAAACGAGCAAGAAGCCGCCTCAAAACAAGTCATTTGAACACCATTGGAATGCCAGACCGTGCAATTTGTGGTTGCGCTCAGCAAGTGTCATGCCCAGTTCAGCTTGGCGTCATGACTGCATCGCCGCTGATGGAGAAGTACACTCTTCCATAGAAACTTAGAGAAAATTGCTCAAGTTGTTTCAGAAAAAACAAAGCAATGTTTAAGGCGCCCTGCTTAGAAAATCATGCATGATCAGTCATATCAACTCATGGATGACTGTAGCCATACTCCATGAGTCCAGCACTGGCCATGAGTCGACACTTTGAGCTGAGCGGCTCGTGATCTCTAATCGTGACCTTGACGGTGTCTGGTCCTGGAGTCTGCACCTGACACCTGGACACAGGTCACGGCTTGTCACAGGTGACAGCTTCTAAAGCACTTCTAAAGCATCTTCTAAGCCAGCTAGGAAGTGATTGAACTGGCTTAAAGACCTTTTATGGTGTCTAAGGCCTTCTGAATCTAAAGTTCCATTCGTAGCACCAATGATTCGCCCAGGCTTTCAGTCAAGGCACGGATCACAAACAAGCATCGGATCCCAGGTGAGCTGGCCATTAGTAATGTCGCCTGGCAGCTTCTTGTTCCTAGTAGCGAGCCAGGAGCCCCTAGTAGTTTCTTGTCAACGAGAGCGTATGAGAGCCGAAGCTACAGCTTTTGTCCAAAGTGTCATTGTTGAAACACAAACTGGACTTAACCCGCTTTCTACCAATGGAGCGTGATGCAAGTACCAGAAAATGAACCATTTCGTTGTCTTTTTCCGGAATCCGTTGGACCTTCCTGTCTTTCCTCTTTCGTTGACAGGCATGCAAGAGATCATGGTTCAAATGTGTCTTGGGTCCTAGTTGGGAGCATCCACACTTGCAACCAAACTCAAGCAATGCTGCTCGGCGCCAAAACGTCCGAGCCTAGCGGTTTGCCATCTTCCTTTCTACTCCAGGTCCCTTCAAGCCGCCTCAGCGACCAAAAGTTCTCCCCACATTGATCACAGGCTCAAAGGCGTTTTCCCTCCCCATCCATCCCATCTTCCAAAAGAATCCCGGGCACAAAGTGCTGCCGAGCAGCCTCCCATAATTTTCAACAAAATCATCCGCTGGTCCCGTCTTGTCGTCTCATGTTATTTTTTCCCTGCCATACCCTGCAATGAAGCAACGTCAAGAAAAGCAAGGGGTTGGGAAAGATTCTAAAAGAATCTTGGTTCGTTAATTGATCGTGTTGGATTTTATCAAACGCCTTCTCCCACTGATGTTGTAGTAGTGTCAAAAACGATTGGTCTTTGAATTGACATTTCTGAGGCAAAGGGTGGACTCGTCATAAAACGCGTTGTTGTATCAAAACCTGCCAAATCATGCAGCCGCGAAACTCGAGGAGCGTCACCCCTGTATTATTGGATGTCGCCTGCTGTGGCCGTGTGGCAAGACACACGGCAGATTGGACATGGGCACTGCCGTTGCCTTCTCCATCTCGGGCATCCTGGTATCACCAAACTCTTCTTCTGGCTCATAAGCCTCCAACCGACTTTGATGGCTCAACATGTCTAGCATGACTCAGTCAATGAAGCTCATTGCAGCTCTCACTGCAGCTCTCCTAGTATGACCTCAAAAGGGGTGCCAGTGCTACAAGATATGCTTCATCCCACCGCATCGGCCTTTGTGATCCAGGCTGACTTCATACCCACCTGAGACACGGGACGAGTCGAAGCGTTCCAGGTCTCGGCCTGTTGCCATGTCCAATGTGAGCCATGCAACTTCAAAATCCTCAACTTCGCAGTGATTTGCTCTGATAGCTCTTAGAATGTGCCTTCAGTACCTCTCCACGGGTCCCAGTGTTAACAGAAGTCCTGGGACCGTTGTATACCTTTCCAACACTGAGAATGGCTTTTGTGTCTCTTTACCTGCGAGTTCATGATCTCGTCATTCTGGTAGGGTTTGTCGGAGCAGCAGCAGGCACCCATGGCCCGTGTGGAGGAAAGGATAGAAAGGATCTGAAAGCAATCAGGGAATTGGGGCGCTACATTAAGTATGCCGGACTCAAAGAGCTCAGGGCTTACCCGGTGCTTGTCTCACAATGGTGTCTGGTTTTTGGAGTGCAAAGTTGAGCTCATTCTGCTGCAAAATCTGCAATTGAGATCCTCCAGCCAAAGGCAACACCATTTCTCAGAAAGTCCTTGAAAAGCCGCAAATCTGGAAATCCAACATCATGATCTTATTGTAGAACTGACAGCGTTTCCTAGCGAACAGTCTTGTTCCACCGAGTGGGTCTTCTTTCCTTCGCCAAGAAGTGCCTACAGTTGAAAAGTTCAAAACTCGCCTTTGCGGCTTCCAATCGTGCCCGAGCCTCTTGTGCCTGAGACTGGCAACAGGTCAAACCAATTCAATCACCGGTCTAAAGAGCCTTCCTTTGAAGTGCGACATATGTGTTAATTGTTTGGTTTTAATCCTCTTTTCGAGAAGGTTTGAGTGAGGTCGATGCAGCGACTGCTTCCCGCAGGTGTGGTTGTGCTGACTAATTACGAGGCTCAGAAAATCTAATCAAATCAAAGGCCAAAAAGCTTGCGATTGGAGCGCCTTCACTTCCTAGGAGACACCCACTCCGATTGCAAACTCTTTTTAAAATGATGTTCAACATACAACGCCATGATCTAGCAGTTTGCAAGCCACTTGTTGGTGGCAAAGGGCTCTCATTTTCCAACCGCACAGCAAAGCCTCAACTGTCGCCAGAAAAAGCAACGGTCTCACATCGAGCCTGCCCAGCAGCCGCTGCTAAGGCTTCCTGACAAGTACAAACAAAGCTGAGATTCCGCAACGGAAATGGACCAAGAAAGGCAAAAAACAACAAGGACAACAAACTGTTTTGCTTTGAACATTCTTTCTCTAGAGTGTTCTTCTTGATTGGCAGAGTTTGGTCCTCCGCTTTCTTGCACTCTTCATCCTCCAAGGGCTCCTGGCATCGGCAAAAATTGCACAAAATATGATCCTTCGATATGTTTGTTGTCTTTACTACTTTTAACTTTTCATTTTTTTCGTTGCCGTTCGAGGCTGCAGAAGAAACCCGGCCATATTGATTCCAGCCTATCTGCACGGGAAACCTTGAAGAAAATGTCGTTGAGCATGGGTGGTGCTATATGTGGTTGTTAGCCTTCTGCCAGTCCTATTGCGGCAGTGTGAGCATATCTGCCCTCACATTTATATGCATGTTGCAGGCTTGAGCGCTTGAGCCGCTGGTGGCTGATTCTGGAACCACTTGCGAACCGGTCTCCTCCACTTCCTCGCTCTCACTTTCCTGAGAAGGACAATTCGGATCAACTAGGTGAAAAACAGGTGAAAGGAATCGAAAGGAACTGACAAAACAACAAGGAGGGAAACATACAGAGACCGAGAGCCTTTTCCTTTTCCGACTCCTCTTTCTCCTGAACACATTGGCATTCGGCATTCAAGTCTTTCAGATTGGAAATCTACAGCTCACATAGCCTTCTCCTCTTCCTCTTCCGTGGACTCTCTCGCTACGCTTTCCCTCAGGCAACCAGCAAGCTAAGCAGTACAGGGCCCTTGCATTGGCTACTTCGTGACATTTCATTCGTGGAATCATTGTGCAAGTCTGTGTAGCTGTCATCACACCGTCTGTATCTGACTGGCTGGTGCCTAAAAAATGTCTAGCTAGCTGTAGCTGGTTGCTGATCGCTTGGATGCGGACTCGCTAGAGCCTGCCACCCCCAAATGCTGTCCGGACAAGCAAAAAGAATCCGCAAAAGAATGCGAAACATAGTATTAAAAAATAACATGTTATTAAAAAGTATCTAATCGCATTTTGTATGCATTGCATACCAAACCTTTCCCTACAGCGTGGGTAGGAAGCTGCCCCTCCCTCTCTGCGTCGCTGCTGAGCACTATATAGACTACTATAATAGCTTATTCGCATCTCTTGCTTACCCAAGTTTTCCCGCAAGCTCGCCACGGCCAAGTTTACCGCATCAGTTGTCGTCAAATGCATGCATTCTTACCGTCCTTCATCATCCTTGGCTTTGACTTCTCCATTCTCCTTTTCCGACTTGTCCTGAGTCTCATGCTGGTCTGCGTGTGTCGCAGACTGGGAATAACAGCCGTGGTGTCTCGCCGTACTTGAAAGGGTCCAGGTGGTTCTCAGATTTGTCCCTTTTGTGTTTCTTTGGGTGCAGTCAAGCCTCTGAGGCATCACTCGAGGGTGATTTCGATTTGGCCTGCATTCCACAGTTTCAAGAAAAAGGAAGTGGCTCTATGATTACTAATGGACAATGCTGCTGACAGAAGTAGGCCAAACCACAATTCATTCTGCGAAAAGTCTCGGCAATCCAAACTGAAATATCTGAGAAGGCCGGGAGCAAATAAAAGAAATGCATGAACAATCTCGCAACTCTAATTTTCAAGCAGTGTTGCGGTAATATAACAGAGATGTTTCATTCAGTTTCTGCTTGATCTTAACATGTACAGCATGGGGGGGCCGTATTCCAATACTCGAACACAGAAGACAGGTCTAAAGGGAGAAAAGGAAAAAAACAACTGCAAGAACTAAGGCTAAGGAGAAAAGGATATGAAAGACAAAAGCAATAAAGAACACAAGAAACAAAAATGAGCGCAAATGCCAACACATAATTAAAGACAAAGTAAACGAATATATAACTGAAAACAAGAAGAGAACTGGTCAAAAGAGAAAAAAGAAAGGATGGTGGGGAACAAAAAAATAATTAAGGAAGCACAAAAAGCAACAAATGTCGAGGTCCAAAAACAAAACCACATGAAACCACAAATGAGAATGCCGAAGGCGCCTTTTTAGACTTCTTCTTGGATGAATGCTCACTTGACCTTGGCAGGTCATGCCGCTTTTGCTCGGTTGCTCGGCTCCTGTTCTGGCTAGTAGCGTCCTTGCTCCTAGTAGCGATGCCAGGAGCTACTAGTAGCTTCTTGTTCCTAGTACTAAGGCCAGGAGCCCCTAGTCTTCTCATCCTTGTTTCTAAGATTTTTTGTTTCTCTAGTTCTTTCGTTGCATTTCTTGTCGAGATGTCCTCGGGTAAGGCACTTGTCATTACCTTTACCACGTCCTACGACGAAACATGGGAACAGATTTGAAACACTGCTCCGAATGCTGGCTTGAGGTCTTGAAAGATAATTCAGAAATGCATGACCCAATCTATTGATTTCTTTGGTCTTCTTTCCTTCTTTTCTCTGGTTCTTATCTTCTTTACGGTATGTTTATCTTATCAACAGTTTCTTTGCTTTGCTCAATGTCTCTCTCAGTTCTCGGCTCGCGCTCGGAAGCAGAGCCTCTGTTCAGACATAAAGCGAGATCAGGGAGGGTCAAAACATGGAAGAAAATAGTAACTAGAAGCTTCCTTTGGAATCGTTTCACCTGTACCAACGAGAAGCCTTTTGAAGCTTCTTAGTGACCAAAAAGCTTTCTTAGTAGCGAAAGATAGAACACGTCAAGATTGAAAATTTCGAGGTAACTTGAAGGCTACTAAGGGCAATCTTTGTGACCTAGACTCTAGATACCTCACCTTTTCTTGCTGTATAATAAGCTTCCGGAGAATGTGCTCACACCTCTCAGTTCAATTACTGTATTTGGGGCACATGGACAAAGAGCTTTGTGGGTCTGGGCATCCGCGGCTCGTCGCCATGTCACGAACGGTCCCGGCTTGAGGTGAACATGATGCAACAAATAAAATAGCGTCCTTGCTCCTAGTAGCGATGCCCTTTGTTACTAGTAGCATTCATGTTCCTAGTAGTAAGGCCAGGAGCTTCTAGTAGCGTCCTTGCTCCTAGTAGTACGGCCAGGAGCCCCTAGTAGCTTCTTGTTACTAGTAGCGATGCCAGGAGCCCCTAGTAGCGTCTGCAACCTACAAATCCATCCAAAGCCTGGGGCATGCGACCTTTTCGAGCGGGTGGAACAATCGATTTCACAAGTCATGCCAGTGCCACTTGCTCTCTCACATCCTTCCCAGTTGCTTGAATATGTGAACAGCACCCTCAGACATGCATCAGGAAAGTCAAGAGCCATTTCTCCACCACATCTTGCACCAAAGCACTGAAGGTTGATCGGCTTTCTGAAAGGCATTCTCTTCAAATGGCCGTCCAATGGATGTTACTGATTGGCGAGGACAATCCGATCAACCCACCGTAACCCACCTCATGCCAGCACCTTAGCACCACCGTGCTCGACAAGAATTGATGCTTCCGTCATTGGCCTACAAGCAGCCGCAGTTCGGGTGTCCAGGGCATATCTGGCGCTCGAAGAAGTTGCTTGGCTGCCAATGCTTGGCTGCCAAAGCCGTTAAAGCTCTCCCTCTACAAACCTAGTAGGTTGCAGGCCATCGCTAGTAAATAGGAGTGTAAATAGGTTGGAGGCCATTGCTCTTAGTATGTCCTTTCTTTTTTGCTTGGCCGAAGCTCTCCCTACAAACCTATATGCTTCAGGGCTGCAGCGGCCGCTTCGCGGACCTCGAGGGTGCACCGTTTCGACCCGACGAAAGTACATGCCCAGACCAGTTGCTTTGTGGGATGTCATGAAGGCAAAGGCCTAAGGCTATGCTGAAGTCGTGCATATTCTTTTTTATATGCTGCTGGTCTCAAACACAGTTGCAAGTGTCGCAGCGCATTAAGCTCAGTATGCGGTTGAAAAACTCAAACACAGTGCCCCCGGAAAGAGACCTCGCAAAGATCTGAGTGGGCTTTCAAGTAGAAGCACTGTGGGTGCACCGGTCTCATTGTCAAGAAGGCACTCAACACTCAATGGCCCCAATGGCAAGCACAAAAATATAAGAAAGAAGAAAGGCGCGATGTAGAACAAAATGACACAGGGGCCGGCACAGGTACAGAGGCAAGAACAAAGTAAATCAGTCAATCTTTTTTTCCTTCTTTTCAGTCTCGATTTTCAGCCCCTTTGCTCCTCGGTGCTAGGTAGGCTCGTATGTGAAACGTGTGGAACCAAACGTGACTAACCGGAGATCGTGTGGAGTCAACAGAGTGAACGTGATCCACTCGCGATTGCCAAAGAAGACAAGAGACTCGGCCGGACCGAGCTTGAATCGGCCTCTCTGAACAGAGGCATCCTAAGTAAGGCCTGAAGATGGAGCTGTACAAGTGCGGAGCATCTTGTGAACTCAGAAAAATTTGATCGGCTCATGTGGTGCCCGGATGACGCCTTGCAAGTCTTCGGTTCCACATCATTTGGGCGGAGATGGACAAGACATATGGATCCTTATGGGTTCTTATGAATAGATTGAAAGGCATGATTCCATCAGCATCAAGCGCGGCAAAGATTCAATGAGCCTTTGGTGCATGCTGCTTCCAAAAGTCCTAAGCAAAGTGGCCCTGTTGAACCCCAGGCGGCTAGGAACGCGGTGCACAAAGGCACTAGGCAAAAGGAAAAAGGAAAACAAAAAAGTCCAAATGGCCAACTAAAGGTCTACACTATAAGTTAAGGCAAACTAATTCAACAACATGAAGAATGCAAAAGGATGAAGAAAGCAAAAGAAATGCAACAAGCCCGGGCCCTGGATGGAGGTTGTCCTCAGAGAGCTTGGGAGCGTGATGGGCCAGAGATGCATTTGCCCATTCCTCAAATGGGGGCAGCGGCACCTTGCATGACAACTTAGTGTTGGGACTCGCGGGAAGCGTCCAAACGTTGAAGCAAATTCAAGCAAGTAAACTCGTAAACTCTCTGCAAGTTAGAAGCTACTAGGAGCTAAGGGCATCGCTACTAGGAGCAAGAAGCTAGTAGAAACAATAAATAGAATGTAATTAAACTCTCTGCAAGTTTCTCTTTCAGTACTGCACCGGAAATGCGCATGCGTAATGTCTGTTATTTGAGTCCAACATGGTGTTCCTTGCCGACGTACTTGTTCGACTCGAACCCCCTCAAGCTCGGTGGATTCCTGTTTGGGAAGCTTGCGGCCTGCAATGGCTGGGCGCTGCAGTATGGCCTGCAACTTTGCTACAAACGAAAGGACACAGAATCCCAAATAAGGCTTCAGTTGGTTTTCAGTGGCGAACACAAAAACGATTCAGTGCACAAATCTTCAAAAAGAGAAATAGGGACAGTCAAACAATCTGTCTATGTTGAATGATTGTGTTTGAAGCTTTGAATGGCTTCGAGATGCTTCGAGGCTCAGAACACTCCTACGTCTCCTAGGCCCCGCATTGATGCGTGCCTTGCACCGGGCTTCGCCAGGTACTGTTGATGATAGTCTTCTGCATAGTAGAAGGGCTGTTCAAAGTCACTAGCTGCCACAATCTCTGTGGTGATTCGTGGGCCCATACCTGTTCTCAGGACACTGACAAACACGTGATCCCAAGTTTTCGCAACCTTCGAAGCAGGTACTTCTTGACATTTCAGAAGACTGCACATGGGCATATATATATATATATGTGTGTGTGTGTGTTTATTATGTATGTTGTAAAAAACATACAAACACATTAAAAAAATCTAAAACAACTCTATATATACATTGTTCTATTCTATTTATATATATATATATTATATATTGTTGTATGCATGTGTATAATATACAACCAGTCAATTGAAGCAACCCACTTTCACTCAAAGGTTTATTTGCAAACATGTTCCGACTGATTGTGATCATTCTTTCAGGTGGATACTGTGCCGTGTACTTGCGATACAATACGTATGCCCTCCTGCTTGTGGAAGACCTGCAAATTCCAAACCACAGCATGGCAAAGCGATGCCAAAATCACGCTTGCAATGGATAATGCCGAAAATAAAACAGGCATTATCGGCATTGTGGCCTGGCCTTTCCCAGCTGCCTGTAAAGCCTTCTCATAGGCATCTTTGCCTCAGACTCAAAAATGAACGTCCAAAGGTCCAGAACCACACTTGCTTGGTGAGCTTGCGCCAAGCCACTTGCTCGCATGAGCTCTTCTTGCTCACGGTCAAAGAAAATCAGTGCACTTCCTTGGGACGTCCCACTCCAAAACGCCGGACAAACTGACAAACTTTCCAAGTAAACTTAGACTGAAAACATTCCGAATATCGTCGATGAGTCTCACATCTCCCACCCCCCAACCTCATGAAGCTAGTAACAAAGGGAATCGCTACTAGAAGCAAGAAGCTACTAGTAGCTCCTGGCATTACTACTAGGAACAAGAAGCTACTACAAAAATTGGGAAATCTTGGCGGCTCATGGAGGTTGAGAAAGTGAGAGAGTCACCGTCCTCGCTGAAGCCCAGAGTCTGTACTGCGTCCCTCGGTCATTTCCTTGGCCATTTCCCTGTGTGGGATCGTGGGACTCCCAAAACCACCGCAGGAGATCCACCATACTAACCTTCTCTGGGTCATAAACCTCAGATCGCACATCACACATCTCACATGGCTCGCATGAGCGCGTCGCAGCAACGCATCGCGGCTGTCCCATTGCGGGCACAAGAAGCAACTTGCACTGCCTCTGTCGCCCCGGTCTGTCCAGAGCAGCATTCCTGCATGTCTTAAGCTTTCCACATTATTCAAAACAAGGAATTTTGGTTCACAATGACAGGCCCTTTAGGCACAGTAGTCAAGGACTCTCTCCAGGACTCGCTCTAGGTCACTTGCTGCGTTTGCTGCGCGTCTATTCTCGAACCTCGTAGGTCGGGTTCGGGGTTCGCCCTGCTGCATAGCCAACAGCTGTGGAGTAGACACCCCCGCCTCGCTTCGCGCGGGCTTCGCGTGTTTCGCTCATCAAAATCTAAACTCGACAGAACACCAGAAGACCAAAGTATTGCTTCACGCCAGATTGAGCAAATTATTTGCCCCACGTTCATTCACAAATGCATGCCGGCACAGCATGTTCATTGCATGTACCCGCCCATGACTCATGACAACCAGGTCAGGGGATGGTGACTGACATCCTTCAAGCGACTGCAAAACCTCCTGCTCGTTCCTTGGCCTGGCAAGCGCCAAAATCCTTTCTCCGATCCCCAGAAACAGCCGTTGGCGAGAACGCATACCTCACAGCTTGACAATGCAAACAGTTTGGACATGTTTGGAAGCACGCACCCGTGGACCTGTGGGAAATGAATGTATACGGAGTGTACATGCACCCCGTGTTTGTTTAACATGCACATATAGACACAACCCGGACATATCGTCCCTCGCTCTAGAAAACTCAGGAGAGTACCTTCATTTTTGCTGGCCAAGGTCCTTCCATTGGCGTTTTCCTTGGAATGTGGGCTCTAAGGGTCGCACAAAGGGTCCCAACCTGTTTCGTGGCTCATGAAGGAGCAGTGCCAAGTCTCAAAACATAGTGAGTTGGGCTCACCTCCATCTTTTCTGCGCGGCCCTTCCTTGCAGGTTCCGGAGACAGGAAACAACTTGAGAGAGGAAGGGGGTGAACGAAAGGTAGCGCAGCACCGCGTCTGGAGAGAAACTGCACATGGATCCACACATGCTTAAAACCATCGATATTTACTACGGGAAGGCGCACAAAACCGTGTCAATACCGTAGTTGTTTGCAATCTTGAAGCCTCCAAAAGCAGAAAAATCCCTTTCCGACACAATCTTTCCTGTTTCTTTTCAATTTGTCGGCCATTTTTGAAGCCTAGATACCTCAAAAACAATCGGTTTTTACGAGGTTTTTTGCCGGACAGCCACATAAAACCCCGTACATTCATGGGTTTTCTAACTGTTCACAAAGAGGCGCGCCAGGGTGGAGTTGCAAGGGGGGGACCTCCCGCCACTAAACCGAAATGTCGGAGGCGATTTCTCAGTGAAATTGGCTTCCACTCTGGTTATAATGAAAACTCAGGTAGCGGTTGCGCAACCGCTACCTTTCGTGAAAAAAACAACATATTCGATATTGTTTTCAAGATCTGGGCAACGCCACAAGCGACTGCAAAGAACTGCAATGCTTTCTGCATCTTCGTGCATCAGAAACTCAACGCACGCGATGCAGCTGCAGCTCCCATCATGCTACTGCCCGGTGGGCGAGATGAACACTGTGCAACTTGAGCCAGTACTGCCCCCAACTCCCACAAAAACAAAGAACATCTTAACAGTCTTTGTATGTCCTCTTTCTTTCCCACTGATTTGGTTCTCATTTTGTTGGGGTGACCTTGTTTCAAACAACATGTGTAGACAGCGCGCGCAAAATACAATGCCCCCGATGAGACACATGACTTCGGATGATTGGACCATCTATTTAGATCTATTTAGCATGTTGGAGTCCATCACTCTTAGGTTGGAGGCCATTGCTAGGGACGCCCAGCAAGGGCCCAAGGCGCCAAACGCGCTCGTCCCTGTCGTTGGACTGCATCGTCCCCAGGTGATCCTGGCAACCAAATCAATCAAACTTAGTACCAGTACATGATAAAATTCAAAGTAACGTAAAAAGGGATGGTTGGGATGGGCGCAGGTCAAAAAGGAACGTACTAAAATTATTAAAATGATATGTTAGAACATGTTAGACATATTCAACGCACTGACAATCGTGTATGGGGTAGATTCGATCCAAGGCTCGGAGAAAGCATTAAGGCCAAACTCTGCTCTTGTGTCAGTTTGGTGCTGGAGCTTTGGTTGGGGGTCCACTTCTGAAGACCCACCAATTGTGTAGGAAGTAAGGCAGCACTTTTGCGAAAACCATTTGGTGCCAAGTGGGCACATGCAAGACTCTTGTTTGAATTTTGGGAAGGAAGCACCACAGCAACAGCCGGCTGTTGGCCCATGATCACTTTTGTTGCCATATCTTGTTTTTCAAGATGTTTTTGCACACGCGCGCTCAAAAGCCGGCATCACCAATGCAAACTACCAAAGTCACCATTGCAGGATGTACCCGGGCCAGAACTGCGCAAATCCAAAGGTTGAATCTTCTTTGGCGCTCTTGTGGCTAGCGCTTACCCGAAGAACTGGGGAAGGCAGAAAGGACATGTGGCCGTGTTTGTTGTTGATCGCAGAAAATGGACAGTTGCCGGGACCAGCCTGCGGACCTGCCTCAGGTGTCACCCCCTACTCTTTGAGCCCGCGCGCATGGTATATGTGGCTGGTTGACCTAGTGGTTCGGGGCCATTCTTGTAAAAGGCACAGGCGTACACGCGTCTCACTCGTCTCACATGTCTCATTCTTTGTGAATGTTCATAACACTTGGACCCAAGGTCTGACCGGACTTGCAACTGTCATTTCATGAGAAAAGATTGGAAGCAAAAAAAAGATCCAACTTCGCAACCATGACAACAGCAGCAGCAGCAGCAGCGGCAGCAGCAGCAGCAACCGCAAGTCAACAAACAACCAAGGACTCAGCAATCACACATGCCATACTGGAGGCCAGGGAGAGTTAACGAATGCGGGCAAAGAAGAGGCCACGGTGATGCCACTCTCAATGTTCCATCTTTAAAAAACTCAAATACTCAAACTCTCTTTTCTTTCAATCGGCCATCTGAGTTCAATCTTCACTTCTGGCATTCCGCCTTCAACCATCTTCATCTGGTGCGCCACATCCCATCTCCATTGGGTACTTTATCATACCGCACAAGTGTCCAAACTGCAAGGCACGCTGCATTGGGCAACATCGGCTGCAAGATTGTGATATCGGTGGCTGCAGCTGGTGCGGGTAAGTTGGGATTCGTTGAGGTGTGGAGAGGTCGGGAGGTGTCCTCAATCCGACAGGGATGCCGAAGGCAAACCCACTCAAGTCCTTATAGGCCTGGAGTCTCCGTTGTTTATGGTTTCCGCTATATTTGCCGCTCACAGGTCGGGGGCGGGACGCGAGCAATCTCCAGTGACTTGCACAAAGGGAGGACGTTGAGGTGCACTGGGGTTCTACCTCTTCCTCCACTTTGTGTCACTGGAGTCGGCAGTCATTCCTGGCCGCTGCTGTGGTTGCCTCGGTGTGGGTGGGCTCGGTGAGGCTTTTGGTTTTGGTCCGACGATGTGCAGCGCGTCTGGAGTGGAGGTGGTTGGTGTGGTACCGTCGTGTTTCGAGGGGAGGTGTGGGGTAGCTCTGTTGGCAACCGGCATGGTGACGGTCAGTGCAATTCCGCCCGGGTCTAGACACGTAAGACACACTGCTTTGCAAGCTATACGCAGCTTCCAAACCAGGTCCCGCCATCGTTCCAAGGAACTTCCCAGGTGGAATTGTATTGAGGCCATTTGAGCCGTCACTTGCGTTCCTGTCGGGGGTGGAGGTCGCTAATTTACTTGCCGTAACTATGTGGGGTCGTGTATCTTGCTTGAGATTTGTGCCGACATCATGAGCCGACATGTTGGGTATAGGGTTTTGGTCAGTCTAAGTTCTGAGGTTTGTGTAGGGCGTACTGTCTCCCCGTACAGGGGATGTAGTAGAGTTTTGGCGCTTGCCGTAAGTCCCGGGGCCGGCTATATGCCGTGACCTCTGCCTGGCATTGCCAGATGACCGGCCCACGGTAAACCCGTGTGGTTGTGCCTCCCCAGAAGGAGCCCATATGGACTCGGAGCGGGCTGTATTGGGCGCTCCTCTGAGGCTTTGGCTCTGGCGAGTGCAGGGTTTGGCGACCGGCGGTGTTCTCCTTTGTTCTCCAGGTGTCGAATACGTTTTGTGGATTTGGTGTCCTCGTGTTCGTGCTGGAAGCGCGCTGGGCCGGGGCGCCCATGGCGCGGCTGTTGAGGTTAATGACAGTCGGTATTAGTTGTTGGGCTACCTTTCCCGTTATCGTTCGTTCGGAATACCAGCGGAATGGCTGCATCTCATCCGCTGCTCTTCTGCACGAGAAGCACCAAATTCCGCTGAAACATCTCTGCAACCTTTCTCTTCTGCCGCAAGAATCGTTGGTGGCCCTGGTGTTCCTTGCATACGTCGTAATTATTACGTCGTGTGCACCGCTGCTGTAGCCAGGAATATGGAGCCCCGAAACGACTCTCACTCCAGCTTACTTGCATCCTCCAGTCTTCTGTATCTTCGGCTGCTATGCTGGTCGTGCGCAAGGTGTTCGAAGCTTGATCAAGATTGATTGGATTGAATACTGCCATCAAAGACTGTTGGCATTGACCAGGAGCATCAAATTGGTCTGGAAGCTGTCGAATAGATCAGGCTGGTGTACTGATGACTGATAACTGGTCCTTTCCTACTTCTGGTTAAATTAGTGAAGCGTAGCCTAACCCTGTGAAAGTGGTACAATTTCATTTCGTTCTAGACTGCAGGAGGTGGGGTGGCACACATGTGATTGTTGTTTATCGCAAAAGCTCGCATCAGCCAACTGGAACAATTCATGCTTTAGCAATGCTTGTTTGTGGGGGCCGGGCCCAACTGTTGGAACCCCAAAATGCACAAGATTCTTTCAACTAAATAAAGGTTTGCCCATAAGTCTTACTACCACCGAAGGCATGTGTATAGAACGTACATAACACACCTCTTTCGCATGACCGAATGGCGGAGGGCATGATGGGAGACATGAAGGCAAACAAGCTAGGTGTCTTGGACTCTTTCGCTCTTGCTCTCGCGCTAAAACACTGATAAAAGTCTATCAATCCAGATTGATATTTGGCCTTCGTGTTGTGGGGGGGAGGCCTATGCGGGAGACTCCCCGTCCAAACTCCATGACTTACTGTCTTAATTTCATTCCTCTTTTGTGTCAGAGCGTGCATGCACAGCAAAACAGGTGCAAACAAAGGTGCAGCCAGCATGCAACAGGATGGCCACACACACACACTCCGTTTTGCAGGTGGCCCCTTGGTCTGGAATGTGAGCCAATTCTCTCAACGGACGAGGGGCTTGGTCCAGGTCTGCAAATTCAACTGGGTGGGGAATGCGAAACAATTTTTGCTACAAACAAGAGAGGCTCTGGGACATCCTGTGCCTCGACCCGTTTGACAAGCAAGGAATGAGAACAATAGCAGTATATAGGCTTAGGTTTATATAAGGCCTTTAGTTTTCGGATCGCATTTTGATAAGAACACATATTTTTGAGATACGAAGAACACTGCGAGTCGTGCGTTGGGCCTTGCGGAGTGCCACGGCCCTGGGGCCCAGATTTGTCAAGGCCTCTGTGGCCGCAAGGCGGTACCTGGGCCACAGAAATGCTATAGGGAAGGACATGAAAAAAATGGCCGGTCCCATTTGGTCCGCCTTCATTCCGGGCCGCATTAGTCCTCGTTCAACTTTGGAAGCGACGCGGCACCACTCTAGGGAAGGGGAGACGGATTAGTATTGGGATGAAGCCCGAAGCAGTTCAATTGAACACGATCAAATCAATTGTGCGCACTCCGTGTTTCTGTGGAAAAGCCCATCGTCCAAATTATGGAGGAGAGGCACTACCTTGCTCCGACGCTCTCATGAGATCCAGTGAGCATCCGGAAAAT